TAGTTAAAGCCCAAACTGGTTTTAAAGAGTCATATTGAAAAGCCTGACATTTTGGAGCAAGGAGAAGGTTGCCTTTGATGGCATTTTATTTTAAATAGGGAAGAAAGAAGCCTAATAAAGTGACATATTCAAGATCAAAATTAATACATGAGAAACAGCTATGCTACAATCACTAATTTACAGTGGAAATTACATCAGCATCAGATGACCTGGATTGAATCCTAACCTACCTCTTAGCTAAGTGTCTTTAGGCAATACCTTCATCTTTCTAAGAATCATATAGTAAGTATTCAAAAAATGTAAAATTCAGTAGCATATAAGTTTCTTAAACTGCAAAGTACATGAACAAGTGAAATTGAGGAGCCATGACTTCAAATGCCAAATCCATTGTTCTTTCCTGACTGTTGCATTTTATGCTAAAGACCGGGAAAGGGGGAGAAATGACCCAAACATTGTATGCACGTATGAATAAAAAAAAAAAAAAGACTCATTGAGAACCAGAGTCACTTAATACTGCATCCATTTAAAAATATGTTTAGGAGGATTCTGTAGCATTGTGAAAATGCTTATGTTGAATAAAAAAAGCAGGAAAGAACATTAAAAGCACATAGGATTACAACTGTGTATATTAAAGTAATTAGGGTATTACTAAAAATCAAGTAGATTGACTAAGAAGGTCCTCTGTTCACTGCATATAAATCATAGCAGCTAGTATAATTGTGAATGTTATTTCTATTTAATAGTTTTTTAATTTTATATTTTAAGAAACATAAGTATTTTAATAATTTAAATGATTCAGAAAGAAAAACAAACTTTATATGAAGGCGTGTAACTTTTACTTCCTATGTGAAAAGGCTTTTATCCAGTGGGGTAAATTATCCAACCAGTATAATCACAAGAACAAAATAGGTACGAGCAGAGCTCTACTACTGCTTGAGATTTGGGGAACTCTCAATTCAATCAGTTTATTTGGTAGGGAAAATGCTTACGGTGTTACAGTTGCTCTGCTAACAGATATGACTATGAACAAATAAAACATAACAAAAGTCACTACTAAACAGTGTGGATTATGCCCCTGAATCTATTTCATAACAGTCCTGTGGATGTAAATGATATTATTCAATTTTACAAATGGGAAACTGATGCTCAGCATAAGTAACGATTGTAAATCATAAAACTGGCAAAGGAAAAAAAAAATCACAGTGGCAAAGCCAAATATTAAATTCAGGTCTCTTTGATTCAAAAGCCACTGTAGGACATTTGCTTCTTCCATAAAAAGAGATGTCTTTTTTGCCTTCAAAGAAGTTTTTGTAGTTGAGGTGTAACAGTCTGTTTTAATGAACCTTTAGGTGATTATGGTGTGTGCTGAACTTTGGGAGCCACACAGTCTAATCCAGTTTTAGTTCAAGAGCAAAGTGTTAAAATTTTTTCTGGCTATCCCTGGTATGGACATTAGGGAACCACTTGGGATGTTACCCGTAAGTTTCTCCTACAGGACCTTGTAGTTTATTTTATAGAAATAGCCAGGGCTTACAAAGCTAATGGACATTTTTGAAAGGCTTTTTCTAAGATTCTGTGTTATAATTATAATTTATAAGCATACTTAACCCTGACTCTATGACATTAGTTGGTTCCTAAAGCCTGATCTCTAAAGTGAAAAATTATTAAATCAGAGAAAGTATTTCTATTAATTGTAATGGGAAAATTGTGTTTCATCTTTGTCTAAGATACCCAAGTAATTTTCAGATTAAAAATATCAGTTGAATAATGAAAACAAGTTTGTACAAATAACAAACACTTTGGAGGAAATAAAAAGTTTATACCGAAAATGTAATGATGACTAATTGTACTTAGAGAAGGCTTAATAATAAGTGGTAGCCGGTAGGGAGAAGAGCAGAGGAATCATTCTTTGGAATGGAGAGTCCATTTGGTGCTGGAGAGTCAAGTGGTAGACTTCAATGAAGGTCATCTTTGGGAGATCATGTTATCTTGCACTTAAGCTGCACACATTGGCCACCACTGAGATGCGGGTAAAACATGGCCTTTGTTCACAGGGATCCGGGAGCAGTGAGATGTCTTACTAGCTCATTCTATTAAAAGGCAAAAATGTTGCTTGTGGGAGGCTCAGACAAAAACAGAGCAAAGAAGGAAGTGGCTTGGGAGGCTTATAAACATTTCAGCTCTCATACTTAGAAAAAGATTATGGTCCTGATGTGGTGGCACATTTACCCATCATGCCATGCTGAAGGAACATCATATCATGTCTCAGGATATATTGTGGAAAGGGGGCGAGGGGAAAAAAACTAAATGGCAGTACAGCAAACAAATAAAGGGGGGGGGTGATAAAAGAGTACCTTTGAAATATAAAGGGACTGTATGCACTCAGATGAAGCAGCCATAAAGAATGTTCCCTCTTTAGCCCTTTAGGTGTGATTATAAAAGCACACCTTTTCTGATTGATCCAAATGTGCCAAATGGGCCAAATGTGATACATAATTAATTTGTTCCTTACAATATTCTTTGAATAAAAATTATTCAATAAAACTGTGGGTATGTAGTAAATATCACTTGCTATATTTTACCTGTTTTTTTTATTTCTAAAGTCATACTATAAAAAAGAAAAAGGAGTTATTGTCCAAAAAGTGGTGTTACTTTTTAAGAGACATAGCAAAATCTTCCTAACAGTCATTATGTGAAGTCTCATGAGACATATTTTCAAGAACTGGGATTAAAAACTGCTTTAAAACAAAGACTTTTTTCTTTGATTGCTGGTTGATTTTGGCAAGTTTTAGATAAAGCAGGTTGTTTTGTTTTGGTGTGTTTGTATATGTGTATGGTTTTTTGAGACAAGGTCTCACCATGCAGTCTGTCCTTGACCTCTTAATCCTCCTATGTTAGCCTCCAGAGTGCTGGAATTATAGGCATGTACCACTACACCCCCACTAAAGCCGTTTTTAACTATAAATTTTGTGGGTGTCTCTAATCTTTTTCACATCTTTCATAGGTCTCAGTGTCCCAGTCCAGTTATTTTGTCTTCTTGCTATGCTCTTTTTCTTTCTTAAGTCTAAAGGTAGAAGGGACCACATTGCCAATAGATTGTTTTGGATTTTATTGTTGCTTTTATTATTTGATTTAGAAAAGGAAATAAAAATGCCTGTATACTATTAGATATGCAGAATTTCATATACACATACATAACATTTTATAATATATTTATGTATATACTTCTCAACTTAAATAGGAAGATAAATTATTTCTTTCCTGGATAAAATTGTATGGATGGAAAGGTGAACTGATGTGAAAATAGTATGTAGAATATATGTTTTTGTCTTCAATGTGAAAGATCTGAAGTTGAAGAAAATTTTCCCTGCCCTATATAATTTTAATAATGAGTACACTGTACTTCCCTCCATCCCCAAACTACATGGCATTGTTAAGAAACTGCTTTGACAGTGATATTAAAAGAAAGTCCTTTCTAGTTAATCAGGTGTGGCAGTGATAGAGTTGACATTGTTTACAAAATTTTCTTCAGCTTCTCAGGTAAAGATCCTTCCTACTTCTGTTTAGAGAATGTATTTACACTTAAAATTAGTATTTCTATAGCTGTATAACCAAGATGTACCACAAAGTTGTACATGGCCTGGGATTCCTGCCAAAATCATGTTTGACCCAAGGTATCCTCTTTTTAAACAGTTAAGTCTGATGACAGGGTAATAGAAACTTTGTAAGATCCTATATTGGTTGTTTTTATAAAATGTAATGGAGTATAGGAATGTCCAGCAATGGAATGATTATACTTGCTTGCTCTACATAAAAAGGTAAGCTTAAGATGCAGAAGTGCATTTTAAGATGAAAGCTGATACTGAATTTTGAGGGAATAGTCAGTGACTATTAAATATGACAATAGTGTAAATACTTTTCAAAAAAATACAAACTAGAATATACTTAGGGTATATTTTTATAAGATATATGTATTTGTGTAATCTATACACTATACTAAGAGAAAGGAGGGCACTAAGATTCTGTTTCTGTTGAGTTCCCAAGCCATGTGTCTGGCACAGGACTGCCCAGAGGAAAATATTTTTGTTTTTTTCGGCAGTGGGGGGAGGGGGGTTGTAATTTACTCATCACTGGGAACACTTTTTTTGTACCTAGTCCGCCTGGAGGGATAACTTTTTTGCCATTGGTTTGAGGCATAATATATTCCAGCTGAACTCTTTGGAACCCAACATTTGGAGTAATTTTTATCAGTTTGTCAGCACAAATTCTTCTCTGGGGTTATTTGATGATCAGGCATTATTAGATCTTAGCTAAAGAGGGTTCCAGGTTTCTGAAACATGGGACTACTGCCATAGAAGTATAAATTCAGAAGAAATAACACAACTAAAATCCAGCAGAAATGGATTCCTCAATTCATAAGAAGATGTACTGTGGGCAGTTGTGAACCAGTTCTTCAGCATTAACCTTTTTTCTTGGAAGGAAATAGCTTCAGACTATTGATTCAGATTGATTGCCTTCTACCTGATACTGTGTTTAGTCTGATGTTAAAAATCTACTTAGATCCAAGCTATATAAAATATTCAAAATTAGTCTGTTTAAAATAGAGTAAGTGGGAGTAGGTGTGTGGCTCAAGTGGTAGAGCACCTGCCTGGCAAGAGCAAGACCCTAAGTTTAAACCCCAGTACTGCCAAAAAGAAAAAAGAAATAGAATAAGTGATTTTATAGAAAAAATAATGGACCTAGAAAGTAGGAAATTCCACTAATTCACTGTGTCCTAGTGCAAGTAACTTACCTCTCTGGCCCTCAGTTACCTTATCTGTAAAGTAAAAGTAGTATGCCAATATAATCTTTCTTCCAATTCTCATATTTTGTGATTTAAAAAAACAAAACACTTTTAGAGCCAATCCTTTAGCTCATATTAAATACATTGTTAGAGAAACCTTCTGTTTTAAATCATTTGAGCCAAATAATGATTTTGCATACTTGTTCTTATTTTTCAGAAACTCTGTGAAGGCATATTTAAAGTTCTTGTAAAGGATGTCCCAACAACATGTCAAGTGTGCTGCCTGGAAGTACTCCGTATTCTCTCCAGAGACAAAAAGATTTTAGTTCCTGTAACAACTAAGGAAAATATGCAGATACTGCTGAGACTAGCCAAGCTAAATGAGTCGGATGATTCTTTGGAGAAGGTGTCAGAATTCCCAGTTATTGTGGAATCATTAAAATGTCTGTGCAACATAGTGTTCAATAGTCAGATGGCACAACAGCTTAGCCTGGAACTTAATCTTGCTGCAAAGCTCTGTAACCTCCTGAGAAAGTGCAAGGACCGAAAATTTATCAATGACATTAAGTGCTTTGACTTGCGCTTACTCTTCCTCTTGTCACTTTTGCACACCGACATCAGGTCACAATTGCGCTATGAGCTCCAGGGACTACCGCTGCTAACCCAGATCTTGGAAAGTGCCTTTAGCATCAAGTGGACCGATGAGTATGAATCGGTCATAGACCATAATGGACCTCCTCTCTCACCTCAGGAGACAGACTGTGCCATTGAAGCCCTCAAAGCTCTCTTCAATGTGACGGTAGACAGTTGGAAGGTGCATAAAGAGGTAAGGTTGAGAAGAGTATTCTTACTGAATTTAATTGATCTGAGTGTTCTTACAGTTGCCTGCAAGGGAAAAAATGCTAAGTTGGGAAATAGAAAATTCCAAATTCCCACATTAACTAGTTCTATGAACTGTAATATGTTTCATAACTATTACAAGTCTTATTCTTTCCATTTGTGTAATACCCATCAGAAGAATAGGATGCAGATGGACTTCTGTTTTTTTAAGATTCCAAATACAGTTTTCTGAGTTGACTGTTACTTCTCTTTTTTGCAGAGGGTTGTTTTTTGAGACTGGAACTTGTAATCTTCCTGCCTCAACCTCTTGAGGATGGGCATTACCAGCGTGTGCCACCATGCCCACCATGTCTTTTTTTAAAGAGTGACTTTTTAAATTACAAGATTTTAAAAGAAAGAAGATTTAAATTACAAGATTTTAAGAGAAACAGTGGGGTTGGTAAAGGTATAGGTATTTAATGACTGCCATGTTAAAAGTTATAATAAATTCAGTCAATTGAAATTGATCAAGCATGGATGTCTGCTGAAAAGAGTAAATGCTGCATGTCTACTAGTTTCGTAGTGTGTTACCTTATAGTTTTAGGTAGGACTACAACTAGATATCCATGCTTATACAGAGTCCTAGAAAACAAGCATAATTGCACTGCACTGCAGTGTGGGAAAGGTTATTTGAAACCACTTGACTTATTTCTAGACTAAGATCTTTTTCTGTGGTTTGGACCTCCTAGCATCCCAAAGTGAATCAGATTAGATAGTTTGTATTTGAGTGCCCACAAGAACAATATGCTAAGCACAAAACTTAATTTAAACAAGTCAGTTTTAAGTGAAGTAGATACAAACTTTTCTTTTACAGTCCTAACATTTCACTTTTTCTCTTCTCTTTAACCTTAAATAACTAGTGAAAGTCATCCCCTGCCTTAAAAGACAAAGAAAAAAAAAAAAGACAATTGACTTTAGGATTTAGGTTAACATTTTGTTATGTCCATTTGAAATAGTTCTCACCCATGAATAAAGATCTGTTTTTGCTAGCAATCTACTTTAAAAGGATTATCTCAGTGCAGTTTTATAGTGGGAGTATGCAGGCATCTGAGTTTTAAAGTGTAAATAAGTTAGGTCTGTATTTTGAAACCAAATATTTGAAGATCAGTCCTAACAGCTGTTTTAGATGACTGCAGTATGCTCAGTTTTTCCTGAGACTTGGCAGGAAAAGATGTGGAAAGCCAACATGCTCCATTTATGCTTTGAAACAAAATATTTGGAAGTATGTTATGTCTCTGCTTATTTGGTACCTTCTATGGTTATTTTTCTTACACTGTTTGTTTTGGTGTTTTCAAGTTCTCCATTTAGTTGTAGGAGCTCTTCTGAGACTATTGGTTTGCCATTGTTGGAGCCCCTTTTATTTAAGTTATGCCCAAAATAGTATCTCAAATTCCTGACAAAAACAGTTTGTAATTTAGTGGCTGCACATCAATATATGTGTGGGATGGCATGTAACAAAAATCAGTAAATTGAGATTTTCCTTCATTAGTGGCTTCAGTTACAAGTAATAATGGGGCTGGAAGAAGCTGTAGAAAAGGTTCAAGTAGCAAATAGTCATTCTGTGTAATTAAATGTTTATTCTCCAAAACATAAGACTCTACTGATAAAGGATCAGTAGTCTTAGAGTAGGTATCTCAGACCTGGTACCTGTTGTGAGTTAACTATTATGAAATGTGCATACTTAATGTGACTCTGAGCTCTTCTTAAGCTTTCAGAAAGTAGTGGAGAGGGGTTAGATTCATTTAATCACAATATATTTATAGGTAAAATACCAAGGTAAAATCACCACTGAACAAAGAACACACACTTAAACAATAAAGTACAGGAATGTAAATAAGTCCTATTAAGGGGAGGACACTCAAGGGGAGGATAAATGAAGAGAGTAAAGCAAAGAAGGGTTAATCTGGTTGATATATTTTCTATACATGTATGAATATGGAACATTGAAACCTGTTGAAGTCATTTTAAGAAGGGGAATGGGTTAGGGTGGAGAATAATGGAGGAGATGAATCAAATCAGGGTATAATATATATATATATATATGGAAATGTTACAATGAAACCCCTGTATAACTATCAAATACTAATAATGTTTTTTTTAAAAAAAGGAATATAAATAGTATTGAAAATAGGATCCTTGCCAACCCATTTAGAAAAGAATGTCTTCTTGAGTCTTCATATTCAACTTTTAGCAAACATTTAGTCATTTAGTCACTCAACAGATATTTATGGACAATTGCTAGACATTATGCTGGGTGTTGTGTAATGTTTTAGCAAATAGTAGGCATTGTCTTTGCCTTCATGAAACTTCAGTTCTTCAGGTGAAATGGGAGATAGATCAGTAAACAAATACATAATTTAAATTGTGTTGAGTGCTAGGTGAGAAACAGCATAGTGATTGAAAAATACTTAGCGGAGTCAGAGAAGACTCCTGAACGATTCTCCTAAGGTCTGAAGACTGAATGATTCAGCCATTTGAAGAATCGAAGGATAAAATGTCCCTGGAAGTTGAATAGCATATGAAAAGGCACAGAAACCAAAGCATAGAATGCTTTTGAGTGAGGTGCTCATAACTTAGTATAAAGAAATCTCTATTCAGGGTACAGAGGGGCTTCCTACTAAGAGTCCGTTTACCTGCATTTTAGTATCTCCTTGATTTGTCAGGTGAAAGATGCTTTACTTCAACAGAGCAAGCACCCAGAACACTGATAATGCTACAAAAGCACCAACTGAAACAAAGGAGTGTGAAAACTTACTGTACAGAATAATCCAACTTTAAATACTAGTGTTCTTTCCCTTCTTATGAAAATAATACAGTCATTCTAGAAGATGTACAAACAATAAGAAAATACAATTATCTCTAAACTTACCACTCAGAAGATAAGTAGTGTTTGCATTTAATGTGTATCTTTTTAACCATTCTTCATTGATTAATATATGAACAGTAGCATACATGCATGGACACACACATATACACACGCACACACACAAATGCAGTAATTTTATAGTCTTTGTTGTGAAAACAAATACTCTTGAAAAGTTGGACTTTTCAAGTCTGGAGGGGTAACTCAATGGTAGAGTGCTTGCCTGGCATGTTTGAGCAGCGGGGTTAGATCCCCAGCACTGGGGTGGGTGGGGAGTAAAGGTTTCAAAATGTATTCCTTGAAGGCAAAAGTTGCTACAAGTGGCCTGGGGTGAGTGGGTGAGTGGGCAGTCCTCTGTATTCACCTCCTCCATTTTAAAAAGGGCATCTTTAAAAGAAAAAAAGGGGGGGGAGTTCCTTTGATTTTGCTGCTATTGCTTTTGTTCTGTTTAAATTTAGACTATAAGTAAGATTTCATTTGGAGGATTAAAAAGGGCTCTGTAATCAGGAAAAACTTTTGATAACTACCCTTTAACTCCTATTTGTTAAAGATAATGAATCCTTTTAAATATTCATAAGTATAAAAATACTTGTGCGTATAACAATATTTAAAAGTGTAAATATTAAACTAAAATGCAAGTATTCCTTCATAAAGATTTATCAGCTTTTAACAAGCCCCCACTCTGAAGCACTTAGATTGTTTGCAGTTTTTTTGCTTTTTAAATTTTAATAATAGTGAATTATATTGGAGCTACATTCCTGAAATTGATAGGCCAAAGGATTTCAAACTTTTTTTTCATAAATATATAATACTGCCAAATTGACTTTCAAAAGAATAGTGCTGGTCTATACCTTTTTAAACCCTGGGCATTTTACTTTAAAACTTTTTGCCTATTTCATAGCTTCACAGTTACAGAAAATACAGGTGTTTGTTTTGGTTTTAACTGTGTTGACAGGTATTTTCATGACTCCTTTCATTTACATTTCACCAAAGACAAAAATTAATGAGTAGATTTTTCTTGAGGTTTAGCGAATTAGTAGCATTTGTTCCTTTTAGATTCATAACTCTGTTTTAAATCCCTACCTGTCTTCTGATACCATCAGCAGGTTAATTTGGAGATTCTGTTCTTTTCAGTGGGAAATGTATCTAGCCTTATTTCCATGTATGAATTTAATCAGTCCCTCCCTCCCTCTATCTTTCCCTCCCTTTAGCAGGACATAAAGTTAGTTCTAGAAAAGTTAATTGAAATAATTTTAGCCGAGCACCAGTGGTTCACACCTGTAATCTTAGCTACTTGGGAGGCTAAGATTGGGAGGATCATGGTTCAAGGCCAGCCAGGCAAATAGTTCTCAAAACTGCATCCTCAAAATAACCAGGGCAAAATCGACTGGCGGTGTGGCTCAAGCCATAGAGCACCCGAGTTCAAACTTCAATACCACCACCAAAAAAAAAAAAAAAAGAAAGAAAAGAAATGGTCTTATCTTCTATCTCTTTTCATATTTTCCTAAATCTCTCTGTTGGTGGAGGAAAGCATGTTTTTCTAAAAAACCTCTACTGCTGGCATAGGGCCAGCAAAGATGTTAGAGCCAGACAACCAAGTACAACAGTATAAGTCTCAGTGATCAAAAGATCCTATTTGAATGGCATAAAATAGTAAGTACCTATAAAAGTTAATTGAGAATGTCACATTGTAACTGAAGAAGTTAGTTCCATGGTTATTCTAGAGACTTTGAAGGAAATGAAGAAAAGAACAGGATATTACTTAAATAAAAATAAAACTTCAGACTGAGTAATGTTTTCTTGCTGAATCATTTTTTTCAACAAATACATATCGAGTGCCTGATTTGTGCCAAATTCTATGTTAGGCACATGAAATGCAAGGTAAAACATCACTGCCTCAGTCTAAAAGGGAAATTAGACGTATAGACACTGGTATATGTACGGTTGTGTCTTAGTCCATTTGCTGCTGCTATATAACAGAATACCACACACTGGATAATTTATAAATACTAGAGATTTATTTGGCTCATAGTTCTAAAGCCTGGAAAGTTCCAGATGGAAAGGCTGCAAGAGAGGGCCTTTTT